AGTACTGACCTTCACCAGAAAGTCCCTGTGATTGGCCGAATGTTAGCTCCCAACACTACCCACACATAAGCTAGTGGGAAAGCCTCCCTCTAATAAATGTCACTAGTGTTTCTAACGTGCCCATGAAGTATTGAAAGAGAAATTCAGAGGGCTCTTCCATTTCTAAGCAAAATTATTGGATTTGATTCAAACAAATAGTCTGCCCATTCCCAAACTGTTTGAAGCAATCCCCAGAACACAGAGCAAAATGTTTTTTGTTTGTTTTAATTAGGAATGTCTTTTTGATGCTGTGTCATCTAGCAGCAGGGGCCTAAGGAATACTTCCCTTGCTAGTCATTAAAGCTGAGACCTACGAAGCATTCATAAAGCTGAGACTCCCACTTTGAACAACCATCAATCTCTAAATTTAATAAACTTTCTAGCCAGAGCTTCCACTGCCAGTATAACGGGTGACCAGTATACACTAAATGAACCATGGTTCTTTGTCTAGCAACATATTGATTCTGATAGATGGCAAAGGCCAACACAGAAAAGACCCTTAGGGGAGCTGTTGAGAAGTTAGCAGTATTGCCTATTAAACTTAACACCATCCATCTACACATAGATGATCTGCGAAAGGTCTGAAAAATCACGTTATTCTTCTCACATGTCCATTGCGGTGTACGCATTCGTTTTAATGTAGGAGGTCTTCAGGGATCTCAATGTCTGGTTCTTTTTAACATTTTATGTGCCACATAGACTAAATGGAGTACAAGGAAGAATGATTCTTCCTTTCTGTGTCCTAAAGGAGAATGCAAAAAACATTTATTCATATCAGCCCTTATGTGGTACTACATTTGAATTGGAAATGAGAATTATTTTCTATCTCCTTATTTACTTCCTTGAATGTAGTGTGAAGTAGAAAGAAAGGGCACTAGAAGCCAAATAAGTGATTTGCCAACAGACAGAAATTACCCACTTGCATCACACTTGAACTATTAGTATAATTTACTTCTTACCATTTCAGTGCCATTTTTACCCTACAGTGTGACAATTGAAAAGAATCATCATCCAGGCACCAAGCTGTCACGAACCAGGAGTAATAATTCCTCAAAGAAAGTGCAAAATTATTTAACTCTGCTAACCCTTGCACACTAGCATAAGTATCTTTCCAGTCACTTTGAGTAGAATCTGCCATGATACTCAGTCCCCTTGAGCATTAACAGGAATGCAGCATGAGCAGGTAGGAGGCCCATCCACGTCTTCCACTCCCAGCCTACTCACTCACCAGCCAGGCCATGGTGAACCATGACTCCCCCTGAGTATAGCTGCTGTTCTTTACTGCTCCTGTGGAAAGGAAAGTGAAACATCCTTTCCAGAAAATCCACTGCAGCTGCAGCTTTTGGTAGAGGATACTGAGAAAGGCTTTCTTCTGCCTGGAGACAGAGTTGAGGGGTGGGGAATGTTTGAGAGGAGACAGAGTTGAGGGGTGGGGAATGCTTGAAAGGAGACTAAATGGGTTGAGGCATTTTTTCAACATGTGGGTTTCAACATGTTTCATTTCACTTCAAAAGAGGATGGTTAGTAATATACAAGGAGGGGAAGGAAACAATGCAAATACAGTGTTTTGTATATGCTAGTAGTCCCTGCTGGTTTATGATCACCCCAGGTAGTATGAACTTCTACAGGTAAGATATAACCTGAGCCAATTTTTGAGGAAATACCAACACAGATGGAACCTGATTTTGAAATAAAAGGTCTAAAAAAAGAATTAAATCCTCCAAATGCAAACATTCTCCAAGTTTTCAATGACTATTTATATGACTACATAAAGAATATTTCTTCAATAAAACTTTATTTTTATCAAGTTTTTAAGGAACCACTAGACTAAGTATTCTTGAAATAATCTGAGATGTGAACAAAAATGTATTCAAAACAAGTGCTAACTTCAGATCAAATTTATAATAGTAAAAAACAAGAAACATTTTAATGTCCAAAGCACTGCTAATTAAGAAAATTATGTATTCCAATATAAGAGGATATGTATACATTAAAACTGTTGTTCACAAAGTTTTTATTTACATGGGGATCCTGGGAGAAATGGGGTTGAGGAGACAAGGGAGGAAGGAGAGTAGGAGAGATAACCAAATAACATGGAAATCACGCAAGATCTTTAAAGAATAAGAATCCCACGGGGCGCCTGGGTGGCGCAGTCGGTTAAGCGTCCGACTTCAGCCAGGTCACGATCTCGCGGTCCATGAGTTCAAGCCCCGCGTCGGGCTCTGGGCTGATGGCTCAGGGCCTGGAGCCTGTTTCTGATTCTGTGTCTCCCTCTCTCTCTGCCCCTTCCCCGTTCATGCTCTGTCTCTCTCTGTCCCAAAAATAAATAAACGTTGAAAAAAAAAATTTAAAAATAAAATAAAGAATAAGAATTCCCAATATTCAGTTTTAAAACTGCATTTGCCAAAGTAAACTCTTTTTGACCCTCTAAGACCCCCACTTGGTGTATGTTACAAGCAAAGTCCTTGTGAGAGAAGGGTATTTGTGAGGAATTCAAAGACAGATGCTGATTTCATCTTTGGGTACATGCTTGGATAGATATAGAGAACTTCAAATGAGAATTTGCTAGGGACAGTAAGCTGGTGCCTGAAGTGGCCGCAAGGTTTGGGAAGGGCTCCAGGATTGAAAAAGAGCATGTGACCAAGGTCCTATAGTGAGCAAGTGGCAGAGCAACATCTACACTTTTAAAACAATGGTTGCCTTTTTTTTCTACTCCATTGCCCATCAGTGGGCTTTCCAAATCATTCTCTAATGGAAATAGTTACTTTGACAATTAGGAAAAATAGCAGCCAATCACTGTAAGGAAGATATTTTAGTACCTACATGGTTTAGTACCATGCAGAAGCTGTCCAACGGCACTTGGGAAACAACCAGGCCTATAGTTCAAGTGGTGGCTAACATATCATTTGGTTGGAAAGGGAGCCCAAAAGTGGTCAAGCAAAGAAAAAACAATTTAGACCCCAGGAAGGAAAAGTAGGCATCATAGAAATCAAACAAAACATGCTGGGTATTTTAAAGGAAAGCAGCAATATCTTGGGAAGCTAGAGTCGTTTGGTAATAACAATCATGGGGCGTTGACTGAGAAAGGCCCTGTGATAATTGCTCTGTGTGTATTAGTTCATGTAAATTCATTGGTTTAACAAATGTATGAGGTAAATGGTATGGTTATCACCAACTTAAATATGAGAAAACCAAGGCACAGAGTGATTAAATAACCTAGCCAATATTACTCAGATAGTAAGTGATATTGCCAGGATTTGAACCCAGATAGTCCAACTCCAGATCTCCAAAAAATAACAATAATAAGGGCTTACTACGGGCCCTGCACTGTGTTAGGGGCTCTTGCATGAATTATCTATATAATCTACACATCAACCTCTTGAAATAGGTACTACTGTTACCTATATTTATAAATAGTAAAACCATCTCATCCAGGCTTATGGGGAAATGTAGCTCGTTGGTTCATACTTTACCATAACTTATGGTGCCAAAATCTTTTTATTCTCTTATTTAAACATAAGCTTTTAATCCCATGGGCAAAAAGCATACTAACATTATAAATATGTTGACTATTTATACAATCATGCATTTATTCCTTCAGATGACATTGTATAATAACCAGATGTTAGTGTTTTCCATGACAAAACATGAAAGTCACTTTTAGGCAGGAAATGTGTTTCAGTATATCAACCTTGGCTTATATACACCTGCATCATTTTTGTGAACTACCTATATGTTTGTGATTCATGGTTGTATCAGCACTTAAGGCTCAAGCGATCTCAAATGATTTAATATTAGTTGACATAAGATATGATTAAAGTTTGGTAGAGTTGTTGAAGGTAATATGAGGAGAATGGAAAATAAAAAGGAAAAAACAGAGAAGAGAGAACATTTTAACAAATGTTTTCCAGGCAAAAGTCTAAGCTCTTGAGAATACCTGAAGATTGGCTATGCCACTGTACTTTGTTTCAGATGGCTATAGCACCCTCTGGTGAATAGCACATGTATTTCACAATTTTCTCCAAAATAATATAAATAATAACATAGAGTGGCTTTTAGAAGTAGCTCTCTGTTTTTTGTTTGTTTGTTTTTGTAAGGAAGAATATGCCCAAATTGATTCACTTCATCTCAGAAGCTTTTCTAACACCAAAGTGAGCGTTATATAACATGTAAATTCTACATATAGAAACAAATAAGAAAAAGGGGGACCTGGGTATTTTGAATTAACCAATTTAGTTGTGAAGCATGATAGTTTAGAAGAAGCAGAAGACTGTGAATTTTATATATAATGTATACCACTAATTTTTTTCTTCCTTTTTATGTTTAAATTTCAAAATGTCACTGAGCTGAAGCACATAAACATAACCATACAACTTTGCTTCCCTACTTCTTTTAGGTCTCTACTCATGTGTCACTTTCTCAGTGATATTTTTACTAATCATCTTACTTATATTCACAGCCCTCAACACCCTAAGCCCTTCTCTGCTTCATTTTCCACCAGTTAGGATGGCCAAATAAATTTTTGTCCAAACCAAGACATTTTTGAGAGTGAAAAGGGATGTGTGAGTATTTAAACTGGGACAAACAAGCAATGGGAACACTGTGGCAAGGTCATCTCACTCATAACACCTATCATATTCTAATGTACTACACATTTTACTTTTTCTTTTTCTTTTCCCAATAAAATGAAAGCTTCACAATGAGCAGGAGTTTTGCTTGTTTTTTTTTTTCCTCATAGCTATAACCCCAGTGAGCTCCATAATATTGGTTGAATAAATGAACATGTTTACCTGCTGTGATTATTCAACGTGGCTGCAAATTCTTGTTCACTCTCCTCATTGACAGGTGACACTTATTTCCCCTTTCTTTGAATCTAGGCTGGCTCTCTGACCACCTCAACCAATAGAATGTAGCAGAAATGTGCCATGACAATTCCAGGCCCAGGCTTTAAGAAGACCGGTAGTTTTTATTTTCTGATTCTGAGAACTCTTGTTCTTGGCATGCTTTCTCTTGCAACCCAGCCACCAGGCTGTGAAAAGTCCAGACTACTCTGGTACAGCAGCCCAGCTGAGTTTCCAGCTGACAGCTAGGTTGAATGACCAGGTTTTCAGTGAGCCATCTTGTCTGTTCCAGCCCATTTGAATCCTCAGGTGACTACAGTCCCAACCATCATCATATGGAATAGAAGAACTGCCCAGGTAAGTCCCAGAGAAATAATGAAATAGTTGCTGTTAAGTCACCAGGTTCTGGTGGTTTTGGCAGCAATAGGTAATTGTAACATCTGCTATATCTATGGTAGGCACTGTAAGGACACAAAGTGAGTAGGAAAAGATCGGTCTTAAGGGACTATGAGTTTAAAGGGAGAAAAAAAATCATTCCCATGAATAATGTTTTCTTGTAAGGTCATTACTGCTAGAAAAAAGCCAAAAGTAATTTAGGAGTCTATAGGAAGGATGCATTCAACAAGAATTTGGGAAGTAAAGACAACTACATTAAGTTGGTGGAGAACAAGGAACACATCACTAGACAGAATTTGGCAATTAGAGTCAGAGGGGCAGAGTTACTGGAGGAACCAAAGCTAACAGCACAAGCACAAAGGTAAAGAAAGAAGCATGAATAAACTATTCACCTAACAAGAAGCTTGGTTTGACCAGGACATGGGCTTTATGAAGAGAAAGGAAAGCCAGAAAGGAGGATTAGAAATATGTAGTCCCAAAAGTTGTGCTAGTACTTGGATTTCTTTCATGGTCAGAAGTAAGTCAGATGGACTTTATTTTTAACATCCACTGAGTTTTCCATCAGTGATTATAGACATTATGTGTAATCACTGTAAGTGGAAACTTTTTAAAATATGAGAAAGTAAAATCATTTTAAATTCCTCTTCCCAGAGTTAATCACTGTTAATCTTTTCTTCTTACATTTCCTCGACAGAAACATGATTACAACTGGAATGCAGGAGTTTGTATCCTCACTCTTTTGCTAAAATTTATTTCATAACTATCCACTAATTAAGGATCCTCTGAAGACAGTTTTAATTATGAGATAAAATTTATCATATGAAAACACAAAAATTTCTTTAATAAATATCTTGCTAGTAAATATTTACATTGTTTCCAAATTTAGATATAGCTATTATGAAAATGAACACCAGTTGTGCCTTTACCCAAATATACTTGGGATAGCGCCATTGACCTCTACTGAAGGATTCTATAAAAAAAATAGTCTTATAAAATATTGTCATAACTATTATGGATTGAATGTGCCCCACTCTGCAAATTCATATGTTAAAGTTCTAACTCCCAGTGTGGATATATTCGAAGATAGAGCCTGTAAGGAGGTGATAAGGGTTATATGAGGTCTAAGGGCAAGGCTCTACTCCAGTAGGGCTGGTGCCCCTATAAAAAGAAGGACAGTTACCAGGGTGCTCTTTCTCTCTGCCACAAGAGAAGGCAGACCTCTGCAAGCCAAAAAGAGAAACCTCATCAGGAACCAAACTGGCCAGTGCTTTATCTTGGACTTCCTAGTGAGGGCTGGGAAGAAATTGTAAGAAATACTGTTGTTTAAGCCACCCAGTATGTGGTACTTTATTATGGTAGTGAAAGCAGACTAATATAGATTCCATAAAGATTTGGCTGAGAACATTGTTAATCACATTGTAAAGTTCATGTTAATGAAAAAAATTTCATTTTGCAATGAGAAAATAATTTTATTATCTCATGGACATCAAACTGAATACGAATCTTTATGTTCAATTTGCTTCGCTTGCTTGAAATCTTCTAGGCAAATATGTGGCTCTCTTCTCTTTGTCCCAATTTCTTCATTTCTTATTTCATATTTAATTAGAGCATATGTATCTTTATAAATAACATTAATCCTTTTTTGAAACAGGCAGTTTGCAAATAAATAAATGAAAAGATGAAATTAAATGAACATTATTTTAGCCACTTAAGAATAATTAAATACAACAGAATAGTGTTATGATGGAGCTAAGCATTATACAACTGTTAAACCAGAATCATTATATGAATTGATTGACAAATATCACTATTATTTACATATAAATGATATAGTGGAACAGTAACAGAAATCATGGAAATTGCACATTCGGTCAGAGGCAAAGCTAAAGAAATATACTTATTTTCCCAAATCATAGCCAGACAAAGAAATGAGATTTTAAAATTCCTTGAATAGAGGAAGTTTAATAATTTAAGGAAAGGCAAGTGTTGCCTTCATAATTTCATTAGGAGAGAAGACTCAGAGGCTGGGAGGATAATAATAACAAGACTCTAAGAAGATCCAAGCTAAATAAAGTAGATGATCTAAATATTTTGCAATTCGACCTTCATTGTAAAACATACAATCTTCATTGTATTTTCAATGTGATCAACACAATGTGCCTTAATGTTGAATGAAAATTTAATTTTTTCACGTCTCCAAAATAGCATCATACTAATAAATGCAACCATATGGATCACATGGCTTCCTAAAGGTACAAAACAGTTTTCACTGACAGCAATACTAAGTTTTAAGAGGTTCAATTAGGCATACAATGTATGTGGTAGTTTGATCTGAGCTTTGAGGAAGGTTTTAGGGCTAAGTGAATGATTGCAGAGTGGGAATATTTTGGCAGTAGCTGAACAGTACTATGAGATTTTCAGCCAGTGAAAATTAAATGCAAAATCTGTTCAGATATCTTATGTAATAAAAAAAAAAAAAAAGGAAGGGGTGAAGTCTTTAAAGGGATGTAGTTCTTTATATTTTGAAGGGAAATGTGTAAAATATACAAAGTGTCATTTTCTAAGAGGTAAGATCTTCAATCCAACCAATACTTCTAATTAGGATACTTGGGGTTTTTTTCCTAAAAAAATCTAGTGAAAAATTAACTAGAGACATTGAAAGTGTATTTATGATAGCTATGGCTGAAATTAATGAAGCAAGAGAAAGAACAGGCTAGACAATATATCAAATGGCACTTCCTATCAGATTTATGTGGTGTAGTATATAGAACATGGCTTTGAGGACCAAATGTTCTGGCTCAAAACATTATTTCCATGATCCGTTGAAATATGGAAACCCAGTCTATATACATTCATTTTCTTTTTTTTTACATTTATTTATTTTTGATAGAGACAGAGCACAAGTGGGGGAGGGGCAGAGAGAGGAGAAACAGAATCAGAAGCAGGCTCCAGGCTCCGAGCTGTCAGCACAGAGCCTGTCGCCGGACTCGAACTCACAAACCGCGAGATCACGACCTGAAACCTAAATGGGAAGCTCAACCAACTGAGCCACCCAGGTGCCCCAAATATACATTCACTGTCTAATCTTCAACATTAGCCCGTGCTATGAATGAAGAGACTGAGACAGAGGATATTAATTTGTATGAGATAACAAAGCAGGTGAGTGAATCAGAATTCTGATACAGGTTACTCTAAAGTCTGTATTCTTTCTGCTTCATGAAAATGAAGTGGAATAGTTGCAAGAACTGTGAAGGACCTCAGATTTTAGCCTATCATACTTTCATAAGTGTTAGCAGAAGACATGAAATTCCTGGGTCAGAGACAAAGGGCTTTATTACTCATAGCACAGAAGCAGCATGAGCTTCATATTTAAATCTCTTCTCCCCCCAACTAGTAAACCCCATGGGGCAATAGGAAGGCCCCAGTGGGCTGAGCACACAGTGGGTTTGGTCACATTTTATAAAGCCTGAGTTTAGGAAACCCCTCAATCTTTAAAGAGTAAAGCTAACTAACATTGTCATTCTTTGTCCAAGAGGGAGATAATACTTTCACTGTCCTGGTCAGGAATAAAATCTGCCCTTTACCTCTATAGGGGGTATGGAGACCAAGACTGTATGATATACAAACATCCTTTAAAACATAGCCAGGGGCAAAAGCTGCCACAAGTCATAGAAAAAAGCCATGAAGAATTTTCACCCACACTTCAAACAGTATCTAAGGAAACATCTAAATGAAGTAGATTGTGAGGTCCATTAGGCAGTCTGACAAAGGCCCAGAGAGGTGTGATCAAGTTGTGTGTGGTTCATGTTCACATATATTAATATCTAAATGTGATTCAAATTCAGGTCCTTTAGGCCTGGGGTCTATGCCATCAGCTCATTCACAAAGGGACACAAGGCAGAGATGGTTGTGAGCAAGGAAAAGACATGTATCTTGGTGATAGAAATTAGCAAAATCAAGTAAGATATACGAGCTTCAGACAAGGACACTATGCTTAAGGCAGAAATTCATCCTACACAGGAAAATCTAAGCAGAAAATCAGTTGTATAAATTAAGTCCATCTGTAAGGACAAGCTCCATTCAATTTACTGAGCACTCAGGAAGTTAGTATCTCACTCCAGGGCAGGGGCAATTTGTTTTCTGACCAGAATAATAAAGATAATGTCTTCCTCTGGGGCAAATATTGTGCAGTTTAGCTTGATACACGGATAATAGCTAGAATAATTCTAGACTTGGTGGACTTAAAAGCTTTAATACTCTTCTCACCTAGATAACAATTGGCTTGCTAGCTGGGCAGGGCTGTGCTTGTTGATAAAAGCACTTCCAGGGGATAGAGATCCGGGGAGGCAGAAATTGACAGAGAGAAGAGATAAAGAGCAAAGTTGGAGGTCACTTTTTCAAAAAGAAAATGACCAAGTGAAATGTCAGCAGAAAAAAAAAAAAAAAAAAATACACGTGCCTTTCTACACAAGCTAAACTACAGCAATCTTTGCCCAGGAATTAGAAGTGAAATGTCAAGCCAATTCAGAGCAAGAGCCTACCTGATGGCAGAGCCAAAGAATAAGAATTAGAATTTGCAGAGAAAATGTTCCCTCCTAGTTATTTAAAGAAAACATTATTGAGAGCTCAGTTAAATTAGGTCCAAACTGGTTTGAAATCCAACATATTACTTTTTTCATGTAATCCCTAGTCACTAGGTAACTAAACACTTGCAAGGTTTTAGGAATGCTCCTTTAAGCCCTGTATTGGGAGAATATGATCTTTTTGCATAGTTTTCACTCTGGTAAGCAGTCTCAGAGTCCGTTATATTTGAATCCTGCATTCATTTCTTATAAAAAGGTAATAGCATGTCCTGTATTATATTTCAGTCATTTCCATAATAAAAGTTATAGTTAATGCTGATAATATCACTAATTAAAAGAAAGTCATATATATATATATATATATATATATATATATAT